GATGAGATTCATTGAGTCTTAGAGTGTTACGTCTGTGGACACTCAATTTTTGTGCAAATTCATGCAGTTTTTGCAATGTCTTCCAGAAATAAGGTGCCGCTGCCGCGACTGTAATGCTAAAAACTCTCCCGCGTCGCTGCTGCGCCGCAACGGACATCTCTGGATTGGACAGAAATAACTGAACACGTTCGTAAGAGTTTTTTTAAGTGTTCAATGAACAAGAAGGCTTTGAAATTCGTACGTATAAGTGTGTTTCAATGAGAAGTTCATATGTGACAAAGGGTAGCGACTGACTTAGAAGTATTTTGTGTTGGATCATAGAAGTCCGAATTAGAAACCTTCTAGAAGATCTATGCGACTTTGCGAAGAAATAAAAAACTGACTAAAGATCAGCAAGCATAATCGAATTCGAAGTGATCCATGAACAACTGATGGAATCCGTATGAACTTGCGAGGTCTTCCAAAGCAATGACTAGTTTTCAAAAAAATATTTAAAAGCAAAATAGATTCTGTATTATCGCGATAGAAAATCTGTCACTTCTTCCAGAATGTAAGAAAGTGTTGTATGCTTCCTTACTATACAAAATCATATGTTTCGCTCAACCTTTTCACTGTCTGAAAAGATTGATTGAAGAACTCCTTGTTGTCTATCCAACACATACGAAAAAATAGTTTATATTCAAGTAAAAAAGAGAAACTTATTTCTCATCTTGGTTTATTTACAATTTGAATTGTAGCATCAATGCCGATGACGATTTCACAGCTTTTTGGTCAATTGAGTGATGATGATTCCTCTAACGACTCTTTTTCGGAAATGGACTTGGAAGTCGTTGACGAAAAATTCCCTTTATGCATAACTTCAGGTATCGGTTCAATATTTTGCTTTACTTGTATTAGCAGAGGGTCTCTTTTTTAGATGGTCATATCTTCTTGAAATTATTCTCGTCTGTTAACAAGGATGCCATGAGCTTTCTAATTTCCATTGCCGAGGTACTAACTCTGTTCGTTTTTGACTGCTGAAACACACTATGTAATTAATTCTCAAAGACAGTTATCCAAGAGAGTAAAGCATTTTTCTTTAGCCCGTCCGTCGTTTCGAATATAACCATGAATATAAATTAACAGCCTATTCTCTTTATTCGGCTATGTCAATCGGCTTAGAAACACAACATATTATTGATGGTTTACAAGAACTTAGCAAAGCAAGCATTCCAAGTGACATTGTAAATTTAATCAAAGTATTCTTTGTTATATATTGCATAATCCAATAAAAGAAAGGTAACTCTTTGTTTTATAGTTGCATACATTGAACTATGGCAAAGTTAAATTGATGTTGAGCCACAATCGTTATTTTGTTGAAAGTTCTTTTCCTGTGAGTTGACCTTGTTTAAACATCATCAAATGAGATTTTGTTTTTTTTCAGGACGTAGTCAAAGATCTCCTTCGAGACTCACAAGTCCAAGAATCTCGACTAATTTCAATAGAAAATCATATCAGTACAAACTCAATGGAAGTGCGTAAAGAAGGAATTTATAGTGGGTGTAACTACTTTTTGTTTTCATAGAAATCATCTCTTATCATTTCAGAACATTTGTGCAACAAATCTGATCAAGACACCAATGAAGATCTGAATGGCTTGACATCTGACTCATTTGAAGTCATTCAAGACAAAATCGAACTATTACGAAAACGGTCACTAATTAACTTTGCTTTCTTTTTTCCACATTTTTCATTCATATTTAACAAATATTCAGATGTCAAGAGCTGAAATATCCACTACTTGAAGAGTACGACTTTCATCATGATACGACTTTGAAAAATCTCAACATTAAACTTCGTTCAAATGCCAGTCTAAGACCGTATCAAGAGGACAGTTTACGGAAAATGTTTGACAATGGTAAGATTAATGCGGTTTTTGTTTTCATTCCATAGATTTATTGATGCTTTTTTTGATAGAACGAGCTCGATCAGGTCTCATTGTACTTCCTTGTGGTAAGTACTGAACTTAGTTGTCTCATTTTGTTTGTTACGAACGTGTATTTCAGGTGCTGGCAAATCGTTGGTGGGCGTTGCAGCCGCATGTACAATTAACAAGAGTTGTCTCGTCTTATGTAACTCGAATGTTTCTGTGCTACAATGGAAAGAACAGTTCCAAAAGTGGTCGATCGTAGACGATTCTATAGTTCGATTATTCACATCAGAGAATAAGGATAAACCTAATGGTGAGGATAGTTAACAATGGTTGTTGTGCCAGTTAAATCATTTTTTTATTTGTTTTGACATTGTTAGACGCTTGCATCTACATCAGTACCTATCAGATGATTGCACCTACGGATGGACGTAGTGTTGAAACGAGTAGAATCATGACATTAATCAAGAACCACGAGTGGGGTTTGTGACTCGATGTTTGTTTGTTTTTCTCTCTCTCTCTGTAGGAACTAATATTCTATAGGTTTGATATTACTTGACGAAGTGCACACGGCCCCAGCTGCGAACTTTCGAAAAATACTGACTTTCATTCGTGCGCACGTCAAATTAGGTCTTACAGGGACACTCGTTCGCGAAGACAACAAAATTACAGATCTTAACTTTTTAATTGGACCAAAGTTGTACGAAGCTAATTGGATGGAACTACAAAATTTGGGATTTATTGCGAAAGTTCACTGTGCTGAAGTGAATATTCTCACATGTCGAGTCATTTCATTCCTGAAATTCTTTTTTTTGTAAGGTCCAGTGTCCAATGACACCTGAATTCTTATTGGAGTATAATAATAGTGACGATGAAACCGTCAAACGAAGACTCAGCGCCTTGAATCCAAATAAATTTCGATCTTGTCAATATTTGATTGAATATCATGAGCGACGAAATGACAAGATTATCGTTTTTTGCGATGATCTATTTGCACTGCAGACCTATGCACTGAAGCTCATAAAGTATACTTTGCGCTTTTTCTTCTATTGGTAGCTCGTATTTCATTGTTTAATTATAGACCACTCATTTATGGGGAATTAGGACAATGCGAACGCATCATAATCTTACAAAATTTTCAACGCAATCCAAAAATCAATACTATCTTTATTTCAAGAGTAAATTTCTATTTATTTCAATAGAATGAAAATTCTACTCATGTAAACGAATGATAGGTAGGTGACACATCATTCGATTTGCCGGAAGCAAATGTCATCGTTCAAATATCAAGTCATGGCCGTTCACGACGTCAAGAAGCACAACGACTCGGTCGCATTTTGCGAGCAAAGAAGGGTGCGCCATTTTTAGTTATTGAAAGATAAAAATGAACTTTTTCATTTTCTAGACAGTAGTATCGAAGACAACAATGCGTTTTTCTATTCGCTAGTCTCTGAAGGCACCATTGAAATACGTCATCTACTCCAACGAAAAAGTTTTCTTATAGATCAAGGTTATTCATATAAAGTGATTTCTGATCTAATACCTGATGAGGTATTCTATTATCTCTTATGAAAGAGAATAATTCGAGTTTGCATATTTTCAGGCTAACCTTTATTACGCAACAAAAAAAGAACAAGAAGAACTATTTAAAACAGCCCTTACTGGATCTCTTCGAAACGAAGACAAGAAAAAGGAACAAGCGTCTCCTATGGGAAGAAAATCGTCCTCGAAAAAATATATACATCCACTTTTTCGAAAATTCAGAAAATAATCTCGTCCTGTATATAGCAAAGATTATTCATTCTACCGTTGTTAATTTTGAATAAACAAAATATAATTGTACTTAAGTCACTTTCGATAACTAAATGAGAAAAAATCGATTGTTCTAGCCTATGACGTTACCTTGTTATTCCAGTCATAATCTCATAACCTAGTTTTAAAAATAAATAGCAAAATTGAAGTCAGAATTGAGGTCGCCTAACTGCGGTGAGTATGAGTGTTTTAGCAGAAGAATGATGGTTAGGTATATACCCATATCTATTTAAATTACTTCATCACTTGTTGAAGACTCTGATTGGAGAGTGTGGGTATGGGTGTGCGAGAATTTAAAGAGAATACCAACCGTAGACCCACCCACACCCACACCCAATCCAATGAATTCAATCGAGCAGTACTTTGTTTCATAAAGTCGTTGACTTCTTGTTGAGATACTGATTTCACGATATGCAAGCAAATTCTGTGATCCAAACAGGATATCGATTACCAGTCTATTGCGGAACTTTGTTAATCCAATTGATGAAATTATCTACACCTGGATCATATCAATGCAAAGCAAGAAAATCAATTCGTCCGCGAATTTTATTCAATTCGTTGAGAAGTTGTTGCATCCAATTGAGTTCTTGATTAGTCGAGACAATAGCCGGTGAACCAAGTCGAGCACCTTGAGCTCTGAGAGATTCAATATATTGTTTCCAAGCATAGGTAGCTTCCACTGGATTCATATTTGCTTGATTAGCACGTTCTGGTTCATTGAAATCAAGAACAAATTTGGCACCTCTTGCTTGACTGAAAAATTGATTTCTATCGTGAGCTTTGTTTGCACTCCACAACATTGGAACAAATTCTGCACCAGTAATATCTGTTCTGTAAGGTGAGAAATTGTAAATCTAGGAGATATTTTCACCGGTAAAAATATTTGGTGAATCTTCTTTATTTCCCATTGGTCAGGCAATTCCTCACTTACTTGAGCTGGAATCAAAGAAATAGTTGGTGTCACTTTTATTTTCAACAACAGAATTTTTCGCTTTCCAATAAAGCAGTAAAAATCCTACAATTGATCTCTATGATGAAAAAATAAAATCTAATGATTTTCCCATGCCTCACAATATTAGAATTATGTGAAAACTGATCCACCACAAAGTTCTGGTGCAATTTGAACATTTGAAAGATCATTGCCATTGAAATCACAAGACATAGTCCAGTTATTTCCATTTCAATTGATATTGCGTTTTATAAGATGAACCGACAAAGCATTCATGACCAGAAAAGAATTCAAAGTCCAAAAAAGCAGAATATTTCTCATTTTCTGATTCCTTTTGTTTAACATATCGATGCAAGTCCTGAAAATAGAAATTTTAAATAATCGAATGATCTTCATTATTTCCGCTGCGCGAATAGATTTTTATTCGTGCTAGAATTTCCAATTCTGTATTAATTAGAATTCGAGTCTCGAACACAATTAACATAATGATACTTGAGTTGAAGATAAAATTATTTTAGATGAAAACAAAAGACTGGTTTTCGAAAATAAATTTTTAGCATGAAACTACTTCATTATAATTGAATTTCTACGATTTAATTACTGTATTCTAGTGCTCAATTTTATCTTGCATTGAAAATCATCGGTAAACCTTTTGTAATAAGGGAATATTCCAGGATGTCCGATCACTTTTGAGTCGAGATTATATACATCATGCCGATCCTAATGAGTTATGCATAACTTTAAAAAAGTTCATGTTGGCAGCTTTATTTTCCGGATCTATAAGAATTTTATTGTATTTTTTAGTTAAAGTTTCTGGTTCCCTCATGTTGCCAGCAAGCTGATTTTTGACTTGAAACTGTGTACAAATAAAGATCTCAATGAGAATAGTTTATCGTGAAAGGTTCAATCCTTTTGAGTGTTCCCATCCTGATATATGACACATCGTTTGCATAGTCGGATCAGTTTTTCAATGTTCATATTTTTGAGACAGAAGTAATCAAAAGTGTTGAAACTTTCACAATGATCTATTTTCCTTGAGGTCTTTATCTGTGCAAAGTTTCAAATCAAAATTCGAAATTCAATTTTTTGATGGTCTGAGAGGGATCAAAAGATTTGGCTAAAAAATACAATACAAGTCCTCTGTATCCGCAACATATAGCTATGAACACGAATTTTTGTTAGATTATGCATAACTCATTTGGATGGGCATGATGCATATAGTTTCGACTCAAAAGCGATCGGACATCTGGAAACATTCCCTGGTAAGTACTACCGATAACAATATCCAAAAAAACTTGATAAATAATTCGAAAGAAGTGTCAGTATTGTAATCTTGATTATTGCACAAGGGACTGTAGGAACAACTCAATGTTGTTTTAAGAAATCATCAAAAAATCGTTGTTGATCCAAATATTCTTCTGAAATTCTACCTTTTTCTTAGCAACTTATTCTGCTCTCTGAAGGAAAATAGAAACTGGTTTTAAAAAAAATGAAATGAGAAAACCCATTACAGTATGATAATGCTTGATCCAGCTGCCGCTTCTCATAAAGAAAGACAGAAGAAAGCGAATCGTTTTTTTCTCCATAAGTTTTTCTATTTGACAATAGAACATCTATCAAAAACATTTTCTCTCTTATCTGCACTGTATCAAGAGTCATGAAGTTCACTCCAGACCAAACGGATTGTTTTGACTATAATTTTCCAACAAGAAGAATAACTAGTTAAATACGATATATACTTTCCAGTATGAAGTTATTCACGTGATTCAATATATACTTCGTTCTCGTTCAAATGAAACTGTCTAAAAAATGAACATGATAAAATAATATCACTATTTCAATTTGTCAATGATTACTTGGATAAGAATGAATGAATGGCGATATTCACTAAAAAAACAGGATCAACTATTTGTATAGGAAATCTTTCATACAAAAGAATATTTTATGATAACAAGATATGATATTTGTTATCAAAAAAGAAATCTTTCCCATATCATGAAAAGAAGCCGATAAGAACAAAAACATGTGATACCTTATTAGTGAGAAAAATTTCATGGATTCTTATTCATTTTTATCACAACATTATGATAAAGATGGTATGAAAATATCAGTGAAATAAGCAAGAATCTGAATTCGTTTAATTTTTCTACAGCAATACAATGTAGTTATTAATCAATATCGATATGGCAATTATATTACTCTTCGGTGGTTCCAACTCCCATCGGTACCAAGAGAAATTCACATTACATTTGCATGGGTGTGACTGTGTTCCTTAACTCACACTCACACTCGCACCTGATTCATTGAAGCAATTTGAAGATATAAATTTTTTTTTATCATAAAGATATTTATCGTACATTTTGTATATCTATCGTCTTTGCTAACTATTTGCTTGACTTATCAGAGGCCAAAAAGTGAAAAGATGATGAAGTACAATCTTTCACTTATACAGACGAATTTTCAACCTGTAAAATAGAATCTTTTTTGGACTAGAAGAATGGTTGCAAAATCGAGATTAGGATATCAATGTGTTTTATTATATAATTCGTATTTAAACGAGCTGAGCTTTTTATTTAAATATATATTGTTATAATTACGATTCTCTTGCTTGATCAAATCATGTTAACATATAACTTCTTAGACATTTAATGTAACTCCTACAATTTTTTTGTATGCTTTGTCGAACCTATCATATTAAAGTTGTACTTAACAGCGTCCTTAAAAGCTTCTATTTTCTGAGATGAACTACGACACACTATAGACTACTACTAATGATGTAAAATGTCTATAAACAAAGCAGAAGTAGTCGATTCTTAAAATGTCATCTTAAATGCTTCAAAGATGTTATGCTACTTACCACGTTCAAGGCACACTACCGTGTTATCATATTACTGAACAGCATTGCTTATAATCTTGTTAATATTAAAAATAAAGAAAGCTTATTTACTTCACTTATATTATATTGAAATCAATCATCGTTTGATATTGTTTTTCAAAGATATTTCTTCTACTAATTACCGATGTCTGTTTCATACAAGCGTTTTCTTTTTGAAATAAAAATAAAAATTTCATAGTATTGTCTTATTTAGGGTGTGGGTCTCAGTGTGGATTTTCTATTTCGTCACACCTACCCACACACATACCATACCCCAGTTGCACAAAAATTCAATTCATCAAAAAAAATTGTTGTGACTACCACAGCTGAAGAAGTGATAAATAAATTAAGACAAATCGCAGTATATATTCACAATTGTTTGCTAATAAAATATACTTATTAATTTGCTAGTGACACTTTTCAAAAGTAACTCACATAATTAATATACTCATAGAATATAATATTACTATCCATTGATTAAACATTTAAACTCTGATATATGATTATTTTTTTCTTTTTGCAGTACAATCAGAATAAAATTACATATATCATCAATAAGAAAAAGAAAATAATTACTATTGACAATTCCAAGTTAAATATAAAGATGCAAATATTCAGATTCTATACAAAATGACGCTTCGAAATAGACATTAAATATGAATTGATAAATACAAAAAAAAAAAAAGAAAGTCAAATAGATGTCAATGATGTAATACTCGAAGAAAATCTTCGATAATGATTAAAAACAGAAATGCTACAAATACGAATAGCAAATAATATAAATGCTTGTTCCATTCTTATGATATAATTCAATAAAACTTCTTTTGATTATTCTTTAGAGTCTTTCGGTTTACTATTACACATTTTTATATTTGATCAATGTGTAGTTAGAGAAAAATAAGTATCTGACAAAATCAATTTAGATAAAAGAATAACAATTATATGCTATATAAAAAAAAGATCTGTATCTGTATGCAATTAAATCTGACACTTCATATTCTCATCATCAAAGAAATTTTTGCATAACAAACAAAAGCTTGTTAGTACAGACCCTTTGAGGCTGAAATGTGAAACTCACATATCTTCGTTAGCTTTATTATATTTATAAAAATTATGCAAAGTGTACAATCTCTAAAATACGATATAACTGATGCTCTTTTTCTATTTGCTTAGTATTTATTTTATTTTATTTCATTTTCATATTTTATTATTATCAATCTAAATATTGATTTAATGGTCGAATAACCCTCTTGTCCACATTCGTTGTCTACCTTAGATCTAAACGATTTATTAATGAATCTCGATATCTATGATATAGTCATTTTTATTTACAGAAAAATCAGAAACTGTACTAATTAGAACCATCAAAATTTTACTGAAGGTTCTGAAAAGTTCTAATCTTTGTTATTAATTTCGTTGAGTGCCTTTAATTTCGATTGCTAGAATGAAGCCACAAAAGTTCGACTTAAAACTTACACTCACTATTTTCTTTGAGACAATCAATGAAATAACCAATAGGACTTACAGATATATCTAATATTGATTTCTGTCATGAGACACGTTCGATTCATATATAGTTTTTGCCATTAAATTCATATTTATTACTTAAACTTTTTCTACTTATCAGCATGACAGATAATAAAAAAAATTTCATGTAGCATAAGTAAAATATCATCTTGTATTCATCGGCAATGACTAGAACCTCGATCTTGGTTGCACATATTAATAATATATGTAAATTATACAGAATATTACTTCCCCCATAGAGAAATATTCACAAATATTTAACAAAAAAAAAAAAGGAATTTAATTATTTGCGCAAAAATAAAAGCATAATTTTTATTTTTACTTAATCTTTATTTGTGTAAATATTTCATGCATGATTTTTTGTTTCTTGTTCAGACAATGGTGTATCATCGTTTTCTCTTCTATGACCGGAAATCCAAGTGAACAAAAATTTTTCCAATAACAACAAA